GGTTCTTGATCATGCGCTGCTGCCGCTTCAGAACCTTCATCTGATGAACACACACACACACACACGCTTCAGCACACCCGTCTCAGACACACCCCTGAGATGCAGACCCTGGTCACTCACGTCAATGTCTCCGCAGCTGGAGGGGGGGCCGGGTGCAGGGATGATGGGTTTGCTCGGGGGCGGGGCTAACGGGCTCCTGCAGTGAGGCATGCTGGGAGAAAGCGGCTCCATCTTCACGACAGCGGGAGCAGAACCCAGACACACGGACTGAGACAGAACCACTGCAGCACAGAGAGAACACTGATGACAAATACTCACTTCACTTCAGTGTCCACAAGTGTGACGATAAACAAGTAGCGGTGAGAACTCTCATTAAAAACGCATGCGCTCAATTGAGTCGGATCATTTTTTATCCAATAAGACAACGAGCATAATCTACCATGGAAACACATTTACTGAATAAAGGCCCTTTCACACCGGACGCGTAACGAGAAACCGAAACGGAAAAGCGAATAGTTCGCGTCAAATCCATTCACATCAGCCGCGACGCGCATTAGCGACGTTCATAGCTTCAACATTCCAAAACTGAGTCTGAAGGGGAGTATGCTAATCTTGTAAAGTAGCTCAAACTTTGCCACAAAGAACCGGCCAAAGTAAGGATTATGCATTAAACATTTGAATTGTTTATTAATAAACTAGTGTTTTCTGTCAGTTTTCGGTATGAGACGCGCTCCAGTTCACGCGCCGGCGCCTCCGTGTCCTAATTATATTGTCTACTACATTTGCTTCTTATTCCTATTCATCCAGGCAATTTGTTGATGAAACATTGATTAAAATTAAGATACAATTTATACAAAACGAAATTCACTTTAAAGAAAGGCTTTCTACAAAACAAAACTTAAGTGGCCAAAATTATGTCTGACCCCTTCCAAATGTTTTCGATATATTGGGCATCTTATGATCCTTACTCATCTCATGCGGTTCCCTTTTCATATAGATCATCAACATAGATGAAATAAAAAAAAATAGCATTATATTATTTAAACGTATATTTGAGTTTTTTAACTTATAGGCCTATTTAAGCGTCACCGCTCCGCTTTATTTACGCACATGCTCTGATTCATACATGCAAAAATAATATGAAACACACAACCATGAATGTTGAAAATATTCTAAATCAATTATTTCCCTCCTAGTCAAAAATATTATAAATCATCAGCAAGCACTTCATCAACTCGCCGGAGACACCAACTATCAGCTATTTTATCCCATGCCTCGTTCTTTTGCTGGTAAGAAACACCGTCGTGTCATGAACGATAGCGTATGCGTGCGCTGAGATGTGGAATAGGCAATATAAAAATGCTGTCATTATAAAAGGTTTCTAGTTTCAATGTATTGCTTGTTTTTAGTTTATATTTCATGTTGTGACACTTCTCTTCTCTCGCACATAACGCTGCTACGTCAGAGCGGCCAAAGCATCAACAAGCGTCACCTTTGTTTCCCTGTATGTGATTGGCTGAAGCCTTTTCTGTCGCCGCAAAAGTAAAAAAAAAAATCGACATCGAAGCGAAAAAAAAGTGGTTTTTCCGCCGCAGCACATTCGCGTTCGGTGTGGAAGCACTCGTTACACACACAGCTGATCAAAAAATAAAACTATCGCGTTTAAAATTATTCGTGCGTCAAAATCGCGTCCAGTGTGAAACGACCTTAAGAAAAAAAACATGCTTTTGTAAATCAATTACAACATAAAAATTCACAATTGGCATATGAAGTCATAATTTGGGCCTTTTTAATATCAATTATAATTTAATCATAATTATATTTTTGTCATAATTTTGACTTTTTATCTCATAATTATGACTTGTCAATTTCAAGTTATGCCATAAATATGACTATCTCATAATTAAGATTTACCAAAGCATGATTTTTTCCCTTGTGTGGCAGAAATGAGCTTTCCTAGATATGAGCATCTGCATTACACTGCATATTTCTGAATAAAGCCGAGGTGTGTTTCCTCCTGGAGTGTGTGTGTGTGTGTTTCCTCCTGGAGTGTGTGTGTGTGTGTGTGTGTTTGTGTGTGTGTGTGTTTCCTCCTGGAGTGTGTGTGTGTGTGTGTGTGTGTTTCCTCCTGGAGTGTGTGTGTGTGTGTTTCCTCCTGGAGTGTGTGTGTGTGTGTGTGTGTGTGTGTTTCCTCCTGGAGTGTGTGTGTGTGTGTGTGTTTCCTCCTGGAGTGTGTGTGTGTGTGTTTCCTCCTGGAGTGTGTGTGTGTGTGTGTGTGTTTCCTCCTGGAGTGTGTGTGTGTGTGTGTTTCCTCCTGGAGTGTGTGTGTGTTTCCTCCTGGAGTGTGTGTGTTTCCTCCTGGAGTGTGTGTGTGTGTGTGTGTGTGTGTGTTTCCTCCTGGAGTGTGTTTGTGTGTGTGTGTTTCCTCCTGGAGTGTGTGTGTGTGTGTGTTTCCTCCTGGAGTGTGTGTGTGTGTGTGTGTTTCCTCCTGGAGTGTGTGTGTGTGTGTGTGTTTCCTCCTGGAGTGTGTGTGTTTCCTCCTGGAGTGTGTGTGTGTTTCCTCCTGGAGTGTGTGTGTGTGTGTGTGTTTCCTCCTGGAGTGTGTGTGTGTTTCCTCCTGGAGTGTGTGTGTGTGTGTTTCCTCCTGGAGTGTGTGTGTTTCCTCCTGGAGTGTGTGTGTGTGTGTGTGTTTCCTCCTGGAGTGTGTGTGTGTGTGTGTGTGTTTCCTCCTGGAGTGTGTGTGTGTGTGTGTTTCCTCCTGGAGTGTGTGTGTGTGTGTGTTTCCTCCTGGAGTGTGTGTGTGTGTGTGTGTGTGTGTGTGTGTTTCCTCCTGGAGTGTGTGTGTGTGTGTGTGTGTTTCCTCCTGGACTGTGAGCTCCACTATGAATTTGTTGTTGTTGTTGATATTGTTCAATAAACAGCTCCACTTCTAAACATGAGATGTAGGTGTGTGTGATCTCACCAGGCGTGCTCTGGTCGGCGGGAGGAACAGGAACGGGAACGGGAACAGGAAGGCTCTGCAGGATCAGGGCTTTGGCTGGGCTCGCGCTCGACACACACACGGGTTTGGGCTGGAGCAGAGGTTTGCTGCTGAGAATGCTGGAGGCCTTCAGTGAGGCTGAGGAACACAGGAACACATCAGGAACACATCAGGAACACATCAGGAACACATCGGGAACACATCGGGAACACATCAGGAACACATCGGGAACACATCGGGAACACATCGGGAACACATCAGGAACACATCGGGAACACATCGGGAACACATCAGGAACACATCAGGAACACATCGGGAACACATCGGGAACACATCAGGAACACATCGGGAACACATCGGGAACACATCAGGAACACATCGGGAACACATCAGGAACACATCAGGAACACATCGGGAACACATCAGGAACACATCAGGAACACATCAGGAACACATCAGGAACACATCAGGAACACATCGGGAACACATCAGGAACACATCAGGAACACATCAGGAACACATCGGGGACACATCAGGAACACATCAGGAACACATCGGGAACACATCAGGAACACATCGGGAACACATCAGGAACACATCGGGAACACATCAGGAACACATCGGGAACACATCAGGAACACATCGGGAACACATCAGGAACACATCAGGAACACATCGGGAACACATCGGGAACACATCGGGAACACATCGGGAACACATCAGGAACACATCGGGAACACATCGGGAACACATCGGGAACACATCGGGAACACATCGGGAACACATCGGGAACACATCAGGAACACATCGGGGAACACATCGGGAACACATCAGGAACACATCGGGAACACATCGGGAACACATCGGGAACACATCAGGAACACATCGGGAACACATCAGGAACACATCGGGAACACATCAGGAACACATCGGGAACACATCAGGAACACATCGGGAACACATCGGGAACACATCGGGAACACATCAGGAACACATCGGGAACACATCGGGAACACATCGGGAACAGGCCGGATCATTCCCTTCCAGCTCAGAACTCTCTCAGTTAGTTTAGTGCGACGGCCTGAGACAGGAGGAGCTGGGGAGGGAGGAGGGCAATCCTGCGATCGCCGCTGATAGCACTGAAGAGCTTATATACGAGGACAGTGATAGGCGTCGTATTCCTACAGCTCGAGGAGTCACCTGACCCGTTTGCTCACTCTATGTGTGTGTGCAGACCTGTGGTTTGAGCGTCGAGGGTGAAGAGTGTGTGTGTGTGTGTGTGTAACACACCTGTGGTTACGGTGACCTCTACGCTGGCTAGCGGCGGCGACAGCAAGTGTGTGTGTGTGTGTGTGTGTGTAACACACCTGTGGTCACGGTGACCTCTACGCTGGCTAGCGGCGGCGACAGCACGTGTGTGTGTGTGTGTGTGTGTGTAACACACCTGTGGTCACGGTGACCTCTACGCTGGCTAGCGGCGGCGACAGCACGTGTGTGTGTGTGTGTGTGTGTGTAACACACCTGTGGTCACGGTGACCTCTACGCTGGCTAGCGGCGGCGACAGCACGTGTGTGTGTGTGTGTGTGTGTGTAACACACCTGTGGTCACGGTGACCTCTACGCTGGCTAGCGGCGGCGACAGCACGTGTGTGTGTGTGTGTGTGTGTGTAACACACCTGTGGTCACGGTGACCTCTACGCTGGCTAGCGGCGGCGACAGCACGTGTGTGTGTGTGTGTGTGTGTGTAACACACCTGTGGTCACGGTGACCTCTACGCTGGCTAGCGGCGGCGACAGCACGTGTGTGTGTGTGTGTGTGTGTGTAACACACCTGTGGTTACGGTGACCTCTACGCTGGCTAGCGGCGGCGACAGCACGTGTGTGTGTGTGTGTGTGTGTGTAACACACCTGTGGTTACGGTGACCTCTACGCTGGCTAGCGGCGGCGACAGCACGTGTGTGTGTGTGTGTGTGTGTAACACACCTGTGGTTACGGTGACCTCTACGCTGGCTAGCGGCGGCGACAGCACGTGTGTGTGTGTGTGTGTGTGTGTGTGTAACACACCTGTGGTTACGGTGACCTCTACGCTGGCTAGCGGCGGCGACAGCACGTGTGTGTGTGTGTGTGTGTGTGTTTAACACACCTGTGGTTACGGTGACCTCTACGCTGGCTAGCGGCGGCGACAGCACGTGTGTGTGTGTGTGTGTGTGTGTGTAACACACCTGTGGTTACGGTGACCTCTACGCTGGCTAGCAGCGGCGACAGCACGTGTGTGTGTGTGTGTGTGTGTGTGTGTAACACACCTGTGGTTACGGTGACCTCTACGCTGGCTAGCGGCGGCGACAGCACGTGTGTGTGTGTGTGTGTGTGTGTGTGTGTGTGTGTAACACACCTGTGGTTACGGTGACCTCTACGCTGGCTAGCGGCGGCGACAGCACGTGTGTGTGTGTGTGTGTAACACACCTGTGGTTACGGTGACCTCTACGCTGGCTAGCGGCGGCGACAGCAAGTGTGTGTGTGTGTGTGTGTGTGTGTGTGTAACACACCTGTGGTTACTGGTGACCTCTACGCTGGCTAGCGGCGGGCGACAGCACGTGTGTGTGTGTGTGTGTGTGTGTGTGTTAGGGGTGTAACGGTACATGTATTCGTATTGAACCGTTTCGGTTCGAGGCTTCCGGTTCGGTACGCATACAAACCGAACGATTCCTTGGACCATTTTTCCTGCCGACAAAATTCGCGCTGGCGCGACCACCACAACGTTGCGCAACATCAAATGGCAAGCGGAACGAAACTGCGCTACTCATTATATTGTCCTTCACGGATCGTCTATCAGTTCGGACCAGCAACATCTGTGCAGCGCGCGCCGATCTCGATCAAGCGACACTGTTACAACACAGGGCTAAGATATCCAGTGAAGAAAACATTTGAATTCGCCACTGAAGTAATAACATCGCTGCGAGATCTAGTGAGAAGCATTTACATTTCTCCGTTATTAACCGTAGATCTCCATTAGATCAAACAGTGCTGACGTGGAAACCAGGAGAAACATTGTGCCGTGAATGATCTAGTTGCTATAGGCTTTAAGTCCACAGATCAGCAACATTCACCATGGATTTAATATAGTAACACTAACTGTAAACCAGTTTGGCTGGAATAGTGAAATGCTTTCAAGTACTTCACACATCTTTTTCCAGCACTTCAAAACTCAAATAGGATATAAATAAATATATATTTAAATGTTATTTTAATGTGATGACCAAAACATTATTTGTTCATCCTTCAAAGATTACCCCCATTTATAAACCTGAAAGTTTCAAGATGTAGGAAAACTCAGTTATTTAAAAATATTTTTTCTTTTAACAAATAGGAAATTTCTCTGCATTTCTTTCTTTTTGCTGTATCGAAAACGTACCGAACCGTGACTTTAAAACCGAGGTACGTACCGAACCGTGATTTTTGTTGTACCGTTACACCCCTAGTGTGTGTGTACACACCTGTGGTTACGGTGACCTCTACGCTGGCTAGCGGCGGCGACAGCACGTGTGTGTGTGTGTGTAACACACCTGTGGTTACGGTGACCTCTACGCTGGCTAGCGGCGGCGACAGCACGTGTGTGTGTGTGTGTAACACACCTGTGGTTACGGTGACCTCTACGCTGGCTAGCGGCGGCGACAGCACGTGTGTGTGTGTGTGTGTGTGTGTGTTTAACACACCTGTGGTTACGGTGACTCTACGCTGGCTAGCGGCGGCGACAGCACGTGTGTGTGTGTGTGTGTGTGTAACACACCTGTGGGTTACGGTGACCTCTACGCTGGCTAGCGGCGGCGACAGCACGTGTGTGTGTGTGTGTGTGTGTGTGTGTGTGTGTGTAACACACATGTAGTTACGGTGACCTCTACGGCTGGCTAGCGGCGGGCGACAGCACGTGTGTGTGTGTGTGTGTGTGTGTGTGTGTAACACACCTGTGGTTACGGTGACCTCTACGCTGGCTAGCGGCGGCGACAGCACGTGTGTGTGTGTGTGTGTGTGTGTGTAACACACCTGTGGTTACGGTGACCTCTACGCTGGCTAGCGGCGGCGACAGCACGTGTGTGTGTGTGTGTGTGTGTGTGTGTGTGTGTGTAACACACCTGTAGTTACGGTGACCTCTACGCTGGCTAGCGGCGGCGACAGCACGTGTGTGTGTGTGTGTGTGTAACACACCTGTGGTTACGGTGACCTCTACACTGGCTAGCGGCGGCGACAGCACGTGTGTGTGTGTGTGTGTGTGTAACACACCTGTGGTTACGGTGACCTCTACGCTGGCTAGCGGCGGCGACAGCACGTGTGTGTGTGTGTGTAACACACCTGTGGTTACGGTGACCTCTACGCTGGCTAGCGGCGGCGACAGCACGTGTGTGTGTGTGTGTGTGTGTGTGTAACACACCTGTGGTTACGGTGACCTCTACGCTGGCTAGCGGCGGCGACAGCACGTGTGTGTGTGTGTGGTGTGTGTAACACACCTGTGGTTACGGTGACCTCT